TCTCTCTCTCTCTGTCTCATTGTGTCATATGGATTACTGTTAATTTATTATGCTGATCTGTTCTGTACGACATCTATTGCACGTCTGTCCGTCCTGGAAGAGGGATCCCTCCTCAGTTGCTCTTCCTGAGGTTTCTACCGTTTTTTTTTTCCCCCGTTAAAGGGGTTTTTTTTGGGGAGTTTTTCCTGATCAGCTGTGAGGGTCATAAGGACATAGGGATGTCGTATGCTGTAAAGCCCTGTGAGGCAAATTGTGATTTGTGATATTGGGCTTTATAAATAAAATTGAATTGAATTGAATTGAATTGAATTAATGTGCACCTCCTCCTGTACTGCCTTAATATGCACATTCAGCACATCCAATGCATCAAAACATTGTTTTCTAGTTGGAGCCGCGCCTCCTCCTGTACTGCCGCTGACTGACACCTCTGCTGACCTCACCAGGAAAACAACATCAGCACCATCTAGTGGACAGAAACAGCAATTTTAGCAAATTTAACAGCGATTTTATTATTCTAGGACCAAAAGTTGGATTAAAATGTGTGTTTGCAAAAATAATAATGTGTATACTAAAAGATGGATACTTGGCGTCTGTGTATCGACACAATATCACCACACTAATCACTGCCATACTATGCTGTATCGATTTTTCCCCCCAACCCCTAATTACGTTATGCAAACACTGGACACTGAGCCAGGAATAATAGAATAGAATAAAAAAAAACATGAGCAACATTGTGACGGGCACTTCCTGGTTTGGAAACATTTTGGCTGTGAGTTTGAAGGTTAACAGGACCTGGACAAGAGCCACAGTGTCTGCATGTAAATTCATCTGTTCATTTAATTATGGATCGACACGAATACAGTATGATATATTGAAGAAGTATCAAGGAGTCACAGTGATTAAAAAGGCTCGCTTGACTCGCTCTCGGAGCCAGCCTCAACTGGACATTAGAGGACCTGCAGTTTTTGGCACTTAGGCATTGACTTCATTTTTGAGCCCTGGAGGGTGCTGCTTGTTCAGCACTGGTATCAGAACACTACCCAGCATATGGTCGATGACGTCTCTCATCTCAGAGTAGGATCTACAGAAGAAGAGCTGGCCCCACACACTGTGACATTAAACCGACAGTGGTTAATGTGTGTCACTGACGGTGGAAGAAAGAGACTTGATTATGAGAGACAGAACAGCAGGTGTTAATATTCGGTTTCCTGTTTAAGTCGTTCCCCTCTGCAGCCCCACTTCAGTTTCTTTCATCTTCTCCACCTCTGACTATCTCAGCGCTCCGCTGAGAGCCCCTCACCTCCCCGTCTGTCTTTCATGATTCTCACTCTTGTGTTTTTCTGTACTTTGCAGACAAACAATGATGCTGAGCTGATCCACCGAGATGCTGACAGCGAAGCAAAAATAGGACAACATCTATATTTGAATCCTGATCTGCAGCTCACTCTCCAATCTCCTCACAACACAACACTGAACACTGCCCTGTTTCCTCTGCCTCCTCGTCTGGCTTCATTGTTTTGGAAGAAGAGAAGTTCAGCAGCGGCCTCAGGGCTTTCCTGGTCCTGTCGACCTCTGACCCCCCTCACATCACCCCCTCCCCCTCCTCTCCCTGCCATGTCCAACGACAGCAGCCTCCTCAGCGTCTGGGAGGCCTCTGACTGGGCGGACACCTCCCAGTGCCCGCCCTCGGTAGGTGGAGCGACTTTCTTGATCGTGGCGTACAGCGCCGTCATTGCGATCGGGTTGCTAGGCAACGCAGGCCTAGTGTTCATCATCGCCCGGCAACAGGAGCTGCGCAACGTCACCAACATCCTGATCGCCAACCTGTCATGCTCCGACATCCTCATGTGTGTGGTCTGTCTTCCTGTTACCGTCATATACACGCTGATGGACCGCTGGGTGCTGGGGGAGGCGCTGTGTAAGGTCAGTGGACAACACACACACACACACACACACACACACACACACACACACACACACCGTCATGTTTCCATCATTTCAGAGGACATTACATAGATTTACATTAATACACCCCAGTCCCTAACCCTACCAAAATCAGGTTTTCAGCTTCCAAGTTCACCGGGCAGGACGCTGGTCCACTTTTGTTGACACTGTACTTCCATTTTGTATCTAATTCCAAATTTTACTCAGAACAGCTTTGGTCAAAGCAAACTTTGTGTCCATTGCAGTATTATATTTTTGAATGAATATCTTATGACAAGTTGCCTGCTGCCGGTGCTAAGTAAACACCTTTTAGTCCCCTAACCCTCCCAAACTAGTCACTTTAGAGAAGCATAACTTCACAGGGAGAGCTCCTAGACTCCTGGGACCTGGTGCTGGTAGATCTGCATCCCAAGATGTGTCCACTGAGCCCACGTCAAATCTCTGTCAATTTTTGTGCCAAAATCTTAAAGGCCTTGTGTTGGCGCCAGAAGTGATGCACATACATGAGCGCCCATGAGAAGGCACCACTTAGTTTCTGAGTTTTAATGATTTTGAATTTTGAAACTCAAATTTCAGTATAAGTGAAAGCAGATAGGGGGACCGAATTTCCTACAGAGGTGGGCTGGAACGAACCAGACATGCCCCCCAAGTTTCAAGAGAACGCACCACTTACTTTCCAAAATATAACATTGTTGTCCCTTTTAAAAAGTGTTAATCAACCCTGGAAGGTAATGACTGATGGTATGGGGACTTATATTTTGTCCCCACAGAGAGACGTGTCCCCACAATGTGACTGTGTGAGCAGCTTTATGTCCTCACAACCACCTGTTTGTTTGCCCGTCTCCACCAGGTGACTCCCTTTGTTCAGTGCATGTCAGTGACAGTCTCTGTCTTCTCCCTGGTGCTGATTGCTCTGGAGCGTCACCAGCTGATCCTCCATCCCACCGGCTGGTCCCCGGCGGCGGGACACTCCTACCTGGCCGTAGGGCTGACGTGGCTGGTCGCCTGCTTCATCTCTCTGCCCTTCCTGTCCTTCAACATCCTCACAAATGACCCCTTCCAGAACATCAGCCTGCCCGCTAACCCCTTCAGGTGAGCTCAGATTAGAGGCGTGCAGCTTGTTACCAAAGTATCTTTTCTACTGTGTTGAACATCCATTCTGGTGTCAACATACAAAAAAGGGGTCAGTTTGATTTTTTCCAGTTGGTACCCATTTGTATTTTACAAGAAAAACTGTGCCAACAATGTGTTGCTGTCCTGAACACATGTATAAAAACTTTACGCCTCCACTGCTGTGTGCACTTGAACAACATACAGTGGTGCACCTGCAGCACGGAGAGGCTCAGGTAAGAATGTCCAGGTATACAGCAGTCTACTGTAATTAATATTAGTCATCATTAGCTGCAGACTGATTATTCACCGTATAGACACACTGCTCTCCCCTCTGTGAAAGTACATAAGCCAATTGAATAATAAAAAAATATTGGCGCTGATGTCGGTGATTCAGGCCCTGTATTATTATCAGGTCAGGACCAGACTCTGTGGAATCGCTCCCCCAGCTCAGATATCTGGTGTGTGCAGGTATGTGTTTGGTCATCAACACCTCGTTGTATCAGGATAAAGGACGATCACGCGTCATTTAAAATAGCAGAATTTTGCTGCTAAATCAAGTCAACAGGAAACAACAGGATCAGACCTTTAGCTGTGTCGCACCACTTTTACTCAGTAACGTACAGTTAACAAGGTTGTCCACCCCGTGGTTGTGTGACTCCGCCCACCAGTCCACCCCGTGGTTGTGTGACTCCGCCCACCAGTCCACCCTGTGGTTGTATGACTCCGCCCACCAGTCCAGTGTCTCTGACAGTCTCCATCCATGTCAGTGAAAACATGGATGCTTCACACACAGAAGATCTATACAATCAGCACAGTTTCAAGATTAGAGTCACCAATTCAGTATCTGACCAAATGTCTCCCCTTCTGTTCCTGAGATATGACGTTAAAACATGATGATGTCACAGGCAAGCTGACCTTTGACCTTTGACCTTCATTGTTTTATCCTGTTAGACATTTGTGTCAAGTTTCGTCAGAGTTAGTGAATGAATTCTTCAGTTATGGTCAATAACACGTTTTGTAAAGACCCTTAAGGAGTTCTTGAGGTCACAGTGACCTTGAATTTTGACCCTTGACCTTTGGCCACCAAATTCTAATCAGACATTTGTGCCAAATTTGAAAAAATTCCTTAAGGTGGTCTTGAGATTTGCATTGACGAGAATGTGACAGACAGGGTCACAGTGACCTTTGACCACCAAATTCTAATCAGTTCACTGTTGAATCCAAGAGGACGTTTGTGCCAAATTAGAAGAAATTCCCTCGAGGCTCTCTTGAGATGTTGGGGTCACAGGAATAGGACGGACCGATGGACAGATGACCAGCTTGAAAACATATTACCTATCGCCAGCCTGAAGGCATTAAAACAAAACTCCTGAGAACGATTTAAAAAGAACCCTGGAGAGCTATTGTGACGGACTGGCACCAGCGCGTCAGCTCACCGGCCCCGTGATTAAATATTTCATAATCATGTGTAAATTAATTTCACTGTTCCAATTTCTGGTGTGATCCAGGTCTCACTGTGAGTTCAGACAAACACAAGGGGGATTCTCATGGTGGCATGATCACATACGAAGTCAACAGAAAGATTTGAGTAGACGTGAAGAGTCCAGGATGATTGCCTCGAGGCTTTGAGGGCTCTATTGTCAAGCACAAACACAGTGCTCATGAAATGATGTTTGTGTTCGTGCCCACACAGACCGCCTCTTATTTCAGATGCACTGCAGTTTATTTCAGCTTTAGACACACACACACACTAGAAGACCAAAAACTTCATCCACCTGAACCCAACGTGCATTCATTCATTTTATTTTAAAGGGTCATATATCTGGTGGGTGGCACGGTGGTGGGGTTTGAATCCAGGTCAGGGATTTGAGGGTGGGGGAGCCCTTCTGTGCAGAGTTTGCATGTTCTCCGCATGTCAGCGTGGGTTTCCTCCAGATGTGCAGCTGTGTCTTGTTACAAACACACACAGCACAGCACTACTAAGGTGCATCCCGAGTCAGACGATGAACAGAAGTGTGTGTGGTAGTTACATGTTTTGTGTGTTATCTCCCTGCTTTGAAATGAATCCCTCGGATGATTCTGAGCGCTCGGCTGAGGAACAATGAAGTCATTGTTTGCTCTGCTCCATCTTTTACAACATTCAGTAATCATGGCAGGTTTTCGCACATAACTGCACCTGATGGGAAATGTTTGCTGCTGACATTTGACATGCTGTGGTGACATTTTGTGAACACAACAGCCACAACAGGTAATGGTTGTAGTTTAAACTTTATATTTCTTGTAAAGTATTAAGTTACTTGTATGAAGTTTGACAGAGAGGGTCAAACAGTGGAGATGTTTTTAGCTGAAGAGTTGGAAACATGACTTCAGACAGTGGATATCATGGAATGGAAGAGCCTGGTTATTATGGTGTAGGTATGTTTCCATGGAAGCTCTAGTTTGTTTTTGTTTTTTGCTTATAAATGTATTGTGTTTGTTTTTTAGAAATTCAGATGTTGCAGCAGCACAAGGATAGAAATAAGTACAGATACATAGAGAAAGTAAATTATGTAATAATTAGAAGTATATAAATAAAAATACGTATGATATCCAGTGAATTAGCACCTCAGAAATGGTGTTGTGACGTTACTTACTTTACACAAAGTTACATACTTAACACAACGTTACATCAGTTAGGATTAGGAGAGTAAGGTAACATAGGTTTGGTTTAGCAAAAGAAATCTAATTGGGAATCACCATGTTACGTTCTTAAGGTAAAGTTCGATACTTAAAGTTACTTATTTAACTGTAAAGCTAAGTAGGCTAGGATTAGGATAGTGACATTACGTGGGTTTGGTTTAGGAAAAAAAAACATGGTTAGGCATCACTATGCTACAGACTTACTGTAAAGTTATGTAAGTTTGACGTAGGAAAAGAACCATGGTTCAGCGTCACCATGTCATGTACTTAAAGTGAAGTTATGTAGGGTAGGAATAGGATAGTGACGTTACGTGGGTTTGGTTTAGGAAAAAAAACATGGTTGGGCATCAACATGTCATAGACTTAACGTAAAGTTACGTACTTAAAATAACATATCTGACATAACATACTTCACGTAACGTACATAATGTAACCTTACATAGATAAAACCTTTGAGCTAAACCGTGGCACACTGAACTGAATTACTGTGATTTTAAGTTGAGGGACAACTACGCAGGTTGATTTTAGCGCTGCTCATCGTGGACTATATTGCTGTCATTGTTCATTTTAGTCAAAGCATACAGTTTGAAAACGAGGCGCGGCTCCAACTAGAAAACAATGTTTTGATGCATTGGATGTGCTGAATGTGCATATTAAGGCAGTACAGGAGGAGGTGCACATTAATAATCCTCCAGGACTGTAACATGCTCATGTTTAACCCAAACAATGTGTCATGTGACTGCAGTTGCTTCACATCCAGGTTGGAACACCTTCTCACCACAAACCAACCGCACCAGAGTTCCTTTGGAACCGGACTGATACCACCTCTTCAAGAAGGTCTCGGCCCGGTTGTTTTGCTGTGTTCACACCTGCATCAGAACTGCAGCGCTGTTGCACTGCTGTCCTGTCCTAAACAACACCTGTGGCTCTGTCTTGTCTCAGGGACCATCTGATCTGTATGGAGCTGTGGCCGTCAGATAAGCATCGTCTCGCCTACACCACCTCCCTGCTGCTCTTCCAGTACTGCCTGCCTCTGCTGCTGGTGCTCCTCTGCTACCTCAGGATCTTCCTCCGCCTGAGACGACGCAGGTCACACTGCTTCACTTCCTCTGTTTTTGTTCTGCCATCAGTGTGTGACAGCATGTTTGTCTTACACAGATGGAGATGCAGTGTTGTGGGTAATCTATTAATACATAACACCACATCATTGTGCTGTAGGTTTGGTGTGACATTTCACAGTGACTTGTCTGACAGTTGGCGTCATGCTGTGTTGTGCAGGGACATGCTGGAGCGCAGCAGGAGGACTCAGGGAGCCCAGAGGATTAACGCCATGCTGTTAGCTATCGTCGTAGCCTTCGCTCTGTGCTGGCTGCCGCTGAACGTCTTCAACACGCTGTTTGACTGGCACCACCAGGCCCTACCTGACTGCCAGCACGACGCCGTCTTCTCTGCCTGCCACCTGACGGCGATGGCCTCCACCTGCATTAACCCCGTGGTGTACGGCTTCCTCAACAGCAACTTCCAGAGGGAGCTGAAGTCGACGCTGCAGCGCTGTCAGTGTGGTAACCGGACGGTGGAGAGCTACGAGAGCTTCCCCCTCTCCACTGTGGGCAGCGAGGGCATGACCAAAGCCACCTCCCTCAACAGGATGGGGTCAGTCTCACCCAGACCTGAGTTCAGTTCAGTGATACCTGTGAAAACAATACCAGCGAACAGCTTCTGATGAGGACCAAACTGTTTTCTGACAAGTGGCTGACAGCTGGAACAGACTGTCTGAGACCGCTGCGTCAAATACTGCTTCAGCTTTTACTTTCCACAACTTTCCTGCCGGAGTAAAACTTTGCTGTCAGGGTGAAACCACTTATTTCACTCAGACTGACTGTTCGGGGGCGGGAAACATCGAGGACGGAGGCCGTCTGATGAGGCTTCAAGTCCAGAAAGCAAAGCAGAATTGTGTACATCGACTCTGCTGAGGGAAACAGAGAGGAAGCAGAGGAGCTGGTAGAACAGCCTGTTATGCCCCACCCCCCTTGGTTACTGTTGCTATGGTCGTTGATCTTTGCATTGCAGAATGTTCAGTTTACGACGATAACGGCGGCAGATCTCTCAAACAGCAGACAGCAAACACTTTCTCAGTTTTAGCCATCGACGTTGGCCTGGCTAAAATTACAACTGTTGCCAGCAGACGTGAAGAGCTCCAGCTAAAGGCAGCTAATTAACGTTAGCTTCAGTGCGTTAGTGTCATATTGTTAGATGGACTTGTTTTAGGTACGTGACACCATACATGATGGCATCATGCTAAAAGACTAAAGTTAACAGGTAGAAAGTGAGCGAGCACTGCTTTTGTATTACATGATGTGTGATGGCAACAAAATTACCATTAAGGCAAAAACGCACCACACTGACGGTTGGTCGGCAGTCAATGTTGGGCCGTCGGGGAGTGTCCGTGGCCCTTGTCGGCGCTAGCTGGCCTGCTGATGTTGAATCAGCGTCAGTGAATGCAGAGCCTGTCGGTGAATGACCTCCCTCTGACTGTCAGCTGAGCTCAGGTCACGAGAAGAGAAACAGGAAGTGAGTTGAGTAAAGGAGGAGCTAACGACCAAAACCAACTTGTTCCATCAGGTCAGATTATTTTTCTTTTTAGCAGAAACGTTTCCTGATGGTTTGTGTTATTGTTCATGTGCTAACTGGCTAACTAGCATCAAGACGCTCTTCCTGTTGATGAATACAGACGACCACCGTCTGCTGCTGTGGAGAGTCATTTCCTCTAAGCAGGAGCAGAACGGATGAGCTGATTGGCCGTCGGTTTGGTGTGTACGACGTGAGGCGACTCAGCAGGGGGTCTTCATCACCGCTAGTTCTCTGAAGTCACTTTGGTGTGTGTGGGTTGGTAGTGTTCATCGTCTCCTCCCACAAAGAAACTGGGTTGTTGTTTAATCGCTAACAATGATCAGTTCTAGTCAGCACTCTGGTGTAACTTTCCAGTTTCATCACCATGCGATATTATATCAATATTGGATCTTTAATCATTGAATCAATATATTGTTCCAGATCGATGGATCATTACACCCCTCGTTGTTAATGTGCTAATTGGATAACTAGCGTCAACACGCTCTTCCTGTTTCCCTTTTTAATGACAAACACAGACGACCGCCGTACGAGCTGGTTGGCCGTCGTTCATGTGCAACTTTTTGACTGAGACACGTCAACATGAGGCGACTCAGCAGGAGTCTTCATCACCGCTAGTTCTCTGAAGTCAGTTTGGTGTCTCTGGGCCTTAATACAGACGAGGTTAATGTTATTTTGTGAAATTAATGTTTGGATCCATCTGCTATAGAACAAAAACACAACACATGTAACAGGCATAATTTGACACACCAACCCTGAACGTCCAAAACTGACAGAGTGGACCGAGAGCGCCATATTTGGACATGTCGGTCCGCCTCCAAAGCGGTGGTATTTGATGACTTTGGAGTGAGAATGTGTTCATGTCATTTGGGGCCCTTTAAGACACAACACGACGGCGGGAACACTGCGCTCTGAAAAGCCATTATTTCCAATGGCCATGATGACTTTTCGCTGTGTTGAGCAAAGCGCAGCCACTTGGCGAGCTGGATCACAGCAGCGAGTGCAGCTAAAAATCGCGTTTTATCCGAGAGGGCGTTTCCTTGAGCTGTGCCTGGTCACAGACCTGTTGCTCAGGACAGTCAGTGAAATATGGAAAAATGTGAAAAGAGTGACACAAACATGACGAAAAGAAAAAAGGAAACTGCTCTCTGACGTACATGTTTTCTATGTGACTTTCCAAAGTGTAAATGCTGTCATTATGATACTGTTGATTAGCATCTTATGAGCATTTTAAAAGTGTGGTGGAGATTAATAAACACAGTGGAAGTCAATGAGGTTGCTCAACATTAATATGCTAATTTACTGCAAAAGTTTTCATGAAAATAAACTGAACAAATACTGAATATGCTGTAATGAGTGTTTACAAACCATCTTCAGTGTCTGAGTCACAGATACAATAAAGTCTATGAGCGACGCCACTTGGCCCTACTTTCTCTGAATGAGATGAATCTTTGTAGCGATGTCTCATAGCAGCTATCAGACTGTTAAAGTTAAAAGGCAGCACAGCGTCAGATTTCTTTGTTAAAGAAGCTCATCGATGATAAAACATCAGATTCTAAATCAACAGAACGATGAATCATAAAGTTCACGTTTCCTCGGCAGATATTTTCTGTGTCTGTTACAACACTCAAGTTTTTCAGTTGTTCTTCCACTTCAGAATTACAGTTTTTAATTTCTGTGATCTTATTGACATTTAACTGTATTCAAATGCCTTTCAACACCTCATTTCCATTTTGTTTTTTTAAATCTAATTACGCCTTATGGCCACTTTATTAGGTACACCTTGCTGGTACCAGGTTGGACCCCCTTTTTAATTCTTGGTGTCACAGACTCAACAAGGTGCTGGAAACATTCCTCAGAGATGTTGGTCCATATTGACATGATGACATCACACAGTTGATCCATGATGAGAATCTCCCGTTCCAGCACATCCCAAAGGTGCTCTATTGGACTGAGATCTGGTGACTGTGGAGGCCATTGGAGTACAGTGAAGTCATTGTCATGTTTGAGATGATGTGAGCTTTGTGACATGGTGCGTTATCCTGCTGGAAGTAGCCATCAGAAGATGGGTACACTGTGGTCATTAAGGGATGGACACGCTCAGCAACAATACTCAGGTAGGCTGTGGTGTTTAAACCATGCTCAGTTGGTACTAAGAAAATCTCCCCCACACCATTACACCATCAGCAGCAGCCTGAAGCGTTGATACAAGGCAGGATGGATCCATGCTTCCATCTGAATGTGGTTTTTCCAATCTTCTATTGTCCAGTTTTGGTGAATTGTAGCCTCAGTTTCCTGTTGTTAGCTGACAGGAGTGGCACCTGGTGTGGTCTTCTGCTGCTGTAGCCCATCTGCTTCAAGGTTGGACAAGGTGTTGTTGCTTCAGAGATGCTCTTCTGCACACCTTGGTTGGAACCAGTGCTTATTTGACTTCCTGTTGCCTTTCTATCATCTTGAACCAGTCTGGCCATTCTCCTCTGACCTCTGGCATCAACAAGGCATTTTGGCTCACTGGATATTTGCTCTTTTTGGGACCATCCTCTGTAAACCCTAGAGATGGTTGTGCTGAAAATCCCAGTAAATACTAATACTGATGCTCCGTTTGAACTTCAGCTGATTAAAAAGGTGTACCTAATAAAGTGGCCATCGAGTGTATATATATACATATATATACAGTACAGGCCAAAAGTTTGGACACACCTTCTCATTCAATGCGTTTTCTTTATTTTCATGACTATTTACATTGTAGATTCTCACTGAAGGCATCAAAACTATGAATGAACACATGTGGAGTTATGTACTTAACAAAAAAAGGTGAAATAACTGAAAACATGTTTTATATTCTAGTTTCTTCAAAATAGCCACCCTTTGCTCTGATTACTGCTTTGCACACTCTTGGCATTCTCTCCATGAGCTTCAAGAGGTAGTCACCTGAAATGGTTTTCCAACAGTCTTGAAGGAGTTCCCAGAGGTGTTTAGCACTTGTTGGCCCCTTTGCCTTCACTCTGCGGTCCAGCTCACCCCAAACCATCTCGATTGGGTTCAGGTCCGGTGACTGTGGAGGCCAGGTCATCTGCCGCAGCACTCCATCACTCTCCTTCTTGGTCAAATAGCCCTTACACAGCCTGGAGGTGCGTTTGGGGTCATTGTCCTGTTGAAAAATAAATGATGGTCCAACTAAACGCAAACCGGATGGGATGGCATGTCGCTGCAGGATGCTGTGGTAGCCATGCTGGTTCAGTGTGCCTTCAATTTTGAATAAATCCCCAACAGTGTCACCAGCAAAACACCCCCACACCATCACACCTCCTCCTCCATGCTTCACAGTGGGAACCAGGCATGTGGAATCCATCCGTTCACCTTTTCTGCGTCTCACAAAGACACGGCGGTTGGAACCAAAGATCTCAAATTTGGACTCATCAGACCAAAGCACAGATTTCCACTGGTCTAATGTCCATTCCTTGTGTTTCTTGGCCCAAACAAATCTCTTCTGCTTGTTGCCTCTCCTTAGCAGTGGTTTCCTAGCAGCTATTTGACCATGAAGGCCTGATTGGCGCAGTCTCCTCTTAACAGTTGTTCTAGAGATGGGTCTGCTGCTAGAACTCTGTGTGGCATTCATCTGGTCTCTGATCTGAGCTGCTGTTAACTTGCCATTTCTGAGGCTGGTGACTCGGATGAACTTATCCTCAGAAGCAGAGGTGACTCTTGGTCTTCCTTTCCTGGGTCGGTCCTCATGTGTGCCAGTTTCGTTGTAGTGCTTGATGGTTTTTGCGACTCCACTTGGGGACACATTTAAAGTTTTTGCAATTTTCCGGACTGACTGACCTTCATTTCTTAAAGTAATGATGGCCACTGGTTTTTCTTTAGTTAGCTGATTGGTTCTTGCCATAATATGAATTTTAACAGTTGTCCATTAGGGCTGTCGGCTGTGTATTAACCTGACTTCTCCACAACACAACTGATGGTCCCAACCCCATTGATAAAGCAAGAAATTCCACTAATTAACCCTGATAAGGCACACCTGTGAAGTGGAAACCATTTCAGGTGACTACCTCTTGAAGCTCATGGAGAGAATGCCAAGAGTGTGCAAAGCAGTAATCAGAGCAAAGGGTGGCTATTTTGAAGAAACTAGAATATAAAACATGTTTTCAGTTATTTCACCTTTTTTTGTTAAGTACATAACTCCACATGTGTTCATTCATAGTTTTGATGCCTTCAGTGAGAATCTACAATGTAAATAGTCATGAAAATAAAGAAAACGCATTGAATGAGAAGGTGTGTCCAAACTTTTGGCCTGTACTGTATATATATATATATATATATATATATATATATATATATATATGTATGTACCCTTCATACTCTGGGAGGACAATCTGGGACAGGCAGTGTATCTTTAATTAATCTGAGCTGGCAGTGGACGTTGGACTCTTATGTCAGATGGATGGTAAATTTTGTTTGGAATGAAAATCCGGTTGATGATAATTTAAATGTCTTATGATTTCATATTGTGTAGACTTTAATATTATGACACTTTGCAGATGCCAGGTTTTGTTCTCCATACCACACGGCTAAATGATCGTCATTATCCGGAGGTTTTGTTTCTGGTCTGTTTTCTTGTAGACGTTGTTTTGGGGGTTTTCTGTTTGTGTTCCTTGTTTCATGTTTAATCTGCTTCCTGTTTTATTTTGTAGATTCTCTCCTCGTGTGTCATGTCTGGTTTTATTCCCTGTTTTGTGTGTTTTCCTGCCTGTTTTCTGTCACACCTGTCTCCTTAGTCCCTCCCTGTTCCCAGAGTCTTCCCCTCACACCTGTCCTCTATTAGTCTTGTTTGCTCCACCCTCATGTTCCCCTCCACACCCTTGTTGTCAGCCAATCACCATTTGCCTCCTCCAGCTGCGTCTCATTCTTGTGATTAGTTTACTGTGTATATACACCTGTGTGTTTCACCTTGTTCCTCGTCAGTTTGTCATGAATCAGTTCAGGAAGGAGCTCAGTGCAGAGCCGCAGGCAGGTTGAAGGGTTAACACAAAGTGAGCTTTAATAAAGAAACAGCACATCCAGAACAGGCAGGTAACTGAAAGGCCTAAAGAAAGATGAACCCAAACCAAACTGAAAACCATCGAGGATACTACGATAACCTCAGGGAAGAAATCCAAACGGAACACAGGACACGAGACAGGAAACAGAGCAGGGAACGCCACCAAGAACACGGGGATGAACACAGACGAACTGACCAGGAACAAAAGGAAAACACACAGGTAAATACACACAGGAAACTAATGTCAAGAGCAAGACACAGCTGGAGGAGGACACGGGGGAGGGTGGAGCAAACAAGACTCACACAGAACAGGTGTGACAGAAAACAGGCGGGAAAACACACAAAGACAGGAAGTAAATCCAAACATGACACATGAGGAGAGAATCTACAAAATAAAACAGGAAGCAGATTAAACATGAAACAAGGAAGAAAACAGAAAAACCTCAAAACAACGTCCACAAGAAAACAGAAGAGAACAAAAACCAGGTCTTTGTTTATCTTCACACTCCGTCCTCGGCGATGGTTTAGGCTACTATAAAAATGAAGGTTATCTTCGTCTGTGTTCCTGTTCTGACACCCGGCACAATAAGACATTTTTATTTGGGGTATCTGAAGTGTTTCTCACAGGTTTTTGCTGTTTTTCTGCCACCAGTCTGTGTGCACAGCTGCTGTGACACAACAGTGTCATTCACTACAACCGGTCTATAATAACTCGATAAGAGATGAACTCTGAGTTACTGCGAGGTAAAAGAAGACGTGCAGCACAACATCAAACTGCAACAACAGATCAGCCACAGTTATAAAGGCTCACTGTGTCTCTGGTTCTTTTCTGAAGATGTCCTGCAGCCGGCTGGACGGCAGCGAGACTCCACGTCTGCAGCAAGTCCCAGAGAGTGTGACGAGGAAGAGGAGTCTGTGTGAGCTGAAGATGCTCCTGTAATTTAACATGACGAGTATGTAAAGATAAGATGAGGTTTTTCCCACCAGCTGTTGGAGGCCCTGACAACAGGGCTGGAGGAGGAGGAGGAGGAGGAGGAGGAGGAGGAGGCAGCTCTGACAATGCAGCAGCAGACAATCTGACACTGTACACAACATCACAGGGAGGAATCAGCCCAATGCTGCACGGGGATCTGCTGGGATCTCGCTGCGGGTGACTCACTCTGCATACATTATCATGAGTCTGATTTATAAAAAGAATAAACAGCGAGACATTTAAACGCCACTAAAACAAAGACGAAGCTCCAGGATTTGTTTTCAGAAGAATCTGACGGGAGCTCAGCTGCAGTGACGCAGAGACACATT